CTGCCTACCCTTTTATTAGTTGAGATAGGAGGAGAAGGTTATAGTTTTAATTTTAATCATACCTTTACGCCTCCTACAAAAAATTCTTAACTCACTTCTGATATTTCACCCTTGATAACACCTTCATAACAATTTAAATGTGTTTCTCTCCATCACTGACCTTTGATTAGTAGTTTTATATTTATATATTTCATACGAGTCTTAGTTTTCTGGAAAATTTTTATTGTTAAAAAAATATTTCCAAGAAAAAGTTATTTTTTGCAATTTTTATTAGTACATTATATTATTATTTTTCCGTGAGATCATGCTTCTCGTTACACAGCAATTCGAACGATATTTTATCGCGTTGGCTTGTTAAATCGTACCTACTGCCATGCCAGTAGGCAGTATCCACGCATATGTTGCAGTTGCAACGTTTGCTGCCAATACATTTGCAAAATTCTGATCATTCCATGGAACTGTTCAACCTTTAGTTGTAAATCAGGTGAATCATCATCATATATTTTTAGTTCCATAATAATTATCCTATTGGTATTGATGGCGGCATAGATTTTCACATAATTACAGAATGAAAACCGCAGGCAATCAGTGTCGTACATAATATGTACAACAAGGTATTAGTATTATAATTATGTCGACTTTTATAAGGCATTCGATAAGATTCAGTTTAAGGGACTTGGCCAAAATCCAAAAATTGGAATTACAATATACGATTACAATAATAGATCTGTAAATGATAGATTGTTATTTTTTTAATGTTAAAGGTAGTGGCCACGTGTGAATTATAGAGTAAAAAGGAAAAGAAATAAAACTAGGTCCCTAAGTCCCCACAGAATCAACATTTGAAATAGAGTCAATACTTAAATTTGTGGAGTATGGAAGTATCCTGAAGGTGATATTCAAAACATTAATCAATCGCCAAGACCACAATTTATGGAATACTCACAAGAAATTTTGGTAATATCTTCAAAATAATTTCAATGATACAGGGTGCTACAGGAAATGATATATATCCAAGTTACGTTTTTTAAAAAATGCAATAAAATACAGACCGTCCTATTTAAAATAGTTAACTTTTAACTCTGAAGAACCCTGTATAATTAAAATTATTTTTAAAGTGTTGCTTTTTCTGAATAATCAAATTCTATAAATTATTTGAAATTTAAACTCCATTATCGCCACTTTTCGACATAATATATAAAAATGAAAGGGCCCTTTTGTGCTTCATAAATCTGTTTAAACAGTTATTCAGTTGGTCCCTTTGACAACTATAATCCACTAGAGGTTACGTATGCTTCTATCAAATATTTATTTTCTCATGAATACTTGAATAAGTGATACTTCATATATAGCGTTCTTTTCCTCTAATGTTCCTCAAGACGGCTGGGATAGTTTGTACATAAATATTAATGTTGTTTGCCTGTCTAGAAGGTGGTTTTGTTTTTGGTGTTAGTTGGTAACGCACATAATATAAAAATAAAAAAGAAATCTAAGTTTTTTTCAAATTATTTCAATTTTTTTTACGAAAACTTCATGAATATAGACATAGATGTATAAATAAATTAGATATATGTTATTGAACACATATTCAAGAAAATTAGGCCTTTTTCCACTATGCGATATGTATTGTTTCACCAAAAATAACAAAAATACTGAGCCTTCTTGAAAATCACAATTACTTCTTTGTATTATTCTGATTTTTTTTGCTAATATGAGATATTAGATAAATTTATAAAACTGTTTCCAGCTTTCAATTCTAAAAAGAAGCTTTTTGTAGTATACATATAAACAAGGGATACCGTCAAAAAGGCACCCATTACATCTCTACCCCAATATCAAATTAAAACAAAAACTTAAAGATGATTTGGTTCTTGCCGTGTCAGAAACCTTCAAAACTGGTTGAAATTTTAAAATCTGGTCTTCAAAATTATATTTATACACTTTTTGTAAATAATTTACCAAATTTTGACGTCTATAGATCAATTGGTATGGAAATGGTGATGAAATAAAGGCACTAAGACGAATTCTTCAGAAAATGTATTTTCGATGGAGACAGAAAATTTGGTTGCAGCGCAACATTTTATCACGATAACGAAATCTTTCTCTGTTTATGGGATTCCCTGTATAGAAAAAAGTAGTTCATATAGATAAATTACGTAGTAGGAAATATAAACAATTGCTTTCAACGACGAATAGTTTTCAAGTTAAATAATTATTAGTATAGTAATAAAGATTAAAATGTATTATAGTTTTTATAGTAGTTATGATTAGCCAGTTCTGGACCAAGTTCAGAGGCAACTAAGTACCCAACCCCACCCTTCGCGCAATTAATAAGTACCTCCCAAATACTATGCAATTACATGATGTATAAAGTAATTGAGAGGTACTTGCTAATTGCACGAAGGGTGGAGGGTGGGTACTTAGTGTAATTACTAATTACATCAATTGCCTTTGACCTTGGTCCAGAACTGGCTAATCATAACTACTTTTTACTTTCCTTTAAATGTCATTTAACTGTTGGTGGTTATCAAAATTTGTTATTTAGTTCCATTTCTTTGAAAGTTATTCATACAAACATAAAATAATGTTTTGAAAGGTTTATTTCAATCATCAATTTTAACAGTCAATTTCAAGCAAATATAGAGTATTAATATTAACTTAATGCACTCAGTAGACGCCCCCCTGAAAACCCCCGGGCATTAGGGTGAAATTCGGTTTTTTCACAGGCATCCATGACATTTTTTAACATTTAATTTTTTTTATTAATTAAAACGTCTTTCAAATTCAAATTGTTAATAAAGTTGGTATACATAATACATATGCTCCTAATAATAAACTTAAAACAGCAGCAAAACAAATAAATAAAAATAAATATCTACGTTCTGCAAAGAATTTTGATTCTATGGTAATCAATTTAATTTATTCGTCGTAACACGAAACCGCGTTTCATTTCGGAGCTAAAATCCACACGAATATTCATAGAATCCCGGTAGGCAGTTGCATCCAGCGCAAAATGTAAAACAAACTTTAAAATGCCTCTTTGTCTTCCGCATGCTCCGTAAGAAATTCTGCAAGTTATAACTTTTGTCTAAAATATCGCCGACTATTATTAGATAGGTATACGCAAAACGAAGGCATGCCAACAACTTGTTTCTCATGATTACGATGAAACCAGTAACCAGCGTACGTTTGTGTGCGACGCGATCAAGGACGAAAATCCACCAGATCATTTTCCATTCTGGGCAAAATTATTTATTCTCATTGTGTACGTTATACTTCGATTGGTCGCATCCGAATTCCCCATGTCACCAATAGACAAAGACGAATACTCATAGTGTTAATCATGCCAACTTTAATACGACCTTTTTCAAACGGTGTTTTATAACCTACTAAAATATATTATAATACCACCCTCAATAAATATAGAGATTTTAATTTGTTATCAGTGAGTTTATTGAGATATAAAATATCAAACAAGTGCAGCATAGTGTCAATGATGCCAACTTAATACTGTTACCATAAGTAAAGCTGTCAATACAAGCAGAAGGGAAAATATTAGAGAAATGTCATTTCATGTCAAGGAACATCTGGACGTTCGGGAATATTCTAGAAGGTTAAATTGAGCTATTAAGTCGGTGATCCTGATATCAGGAAGTCAATTGTATATTCATGTTAAAATAAATTGAGTTATCAAAAACCCCCCTAACAATACGTTTGGTTTGACAGTGCGTGTTGTGAAAAAAAAAACAACTTAAAACTTTGCCAAAAAAGCAAAATAAAAAATGTCTGATTATACTAAACAACAGTATATTGAAACTAAAAAGAGATACAAAAAAATAGGAATAAGGGTAGCCATTTTTGAGTGGTTGGGATTGAGAACGAAGGTGTAAAGAAGGGGTCTTTTATTTCTTACAAAGTCAATTTATTGGCGACCTGTTTCGTTCATCTTCAGTTCATCTTCAGGCACACATAAATGGAAAGTCAATGAGTCAATGTACTGAAAGATGAAAGGGGAAATTAAAAATATTTTCCATTACGGATGCGCTACTTAATTTTAACATATAAAGAGTTAAAAAATTTAGTTTTTATATTTTAACCCCCTCAACCCCTACTTTAAATCAGATTTTTTTTTTTCAGAATCAATAGTAGGCTTTATCTCCTTAAAGAGCTTGATTTTTACTGAAAATTTCATGTTAATATCACTTAGCGTTTTTGATTTATGATTTAATTTCAATCCCCCTTTAAACTTCCCATTTTTATTCAGATTTTTCCAAGATCAAAGGGATTTTTCCCCTTATAGAACTTTTTTCGTTTTTGAGTTAGATTTTTTTTTATATTTCAAACCCCCTGTTTAGTTTCTAATTAAAAAATGTGGACTGTATAAAAATAACATATATTACAAAATTAAACCTGTTACAGTAAACGCCAAATCTAAAGAACCAACGCAAATGCTCAAGTTCGTTTACTTAAAAATCGCCACGCCCATTCACAATTTGAACCTTGTCCTTGCTTACGGACTACTGTGTGAAGAGAATAATAGAAGAGGATTCAGCAGATAGCAGATTTATTATCAAATTTAGCAGATTGTTGATATTTTCTAAGCAGAAATTTATTTTTGGATATATCAGTAACGCCGACATATCGCTGAGATAAGACTGAATGTTTTGAGGAATATTTAGAAAAATTCAGTTTGAATTTGTAATACAATTTAAAATAATGTTTCATTATAAAAATTAAGGGGTATTTAATTAAATTAATTTCATTATTGAATGCTTCTTTAGACAAAGGTATTTAGAAGGCTCTATAAATCAAAGGCTGCTAGTTTCTGTGAAACAGAGTTATTGGAAATACGATAAATGTCGATTTCTAGCTTGAAAGTAATAGAATAGAGCAAAAATTGAACAAGTTGATACAATACTTAGTTGTTCCAGTATATCTCGTGTAGATAAGAAGAAATCTTCAGTAATAACATAACATTTCCATTTTTAACATTAACTCACCCCAATTTGCTGGTATCGCCTGCAGCATGACACGTCAGAAGATCAGCCGGCCCTAATCCTCTCGATTTCCAATTTTGATAAATAGCCTCAGCTTGGTCCGAAATTTGCTTAGCAATGGCAGCAATATCATCGTCGGGGTCTCGCCTGCGAGCCGTTGTCGCCATTATCCGTTAATTGTCGAATTATACCGTTTATTTTGGCCGTATTGCACCGTCAACCCGAATTTACCGAAATGTGGTCTTCGTTAGGGAGTTCGCGACGTTTCATTCTTCTTATTTTAATTTGACGGAACCTGGAAACAAGAGAAATACGGTTATAAAATCGATTATTAAGAATCTTGTAATATAATTAATTGTGTTTAACATCACATGATTTATGTTATACAGGAGCAAGATAAACTATTTCTAGTCAATAAAGGAATAAAAAAATGGACATTCTTAAATCCCCACAGCCCAAATTTTGTACATTTCTGAGATCTGGTTTTGAAAAAATTTTTGTATATTATCTAAAAAACTTTTAAATTACCCTAACATTGACTAACAGCAAATAAGTACTTTAAAAATGCTTTTAGAATGAACACAACAGAATTATTGTTAATAAAAATTATACTTCGCAGTCCGGTCCTTATAAAACACATTGTATTTAGTATTCCACCAAAACTATAAGGTAACAGCAATAACCATTCCAACAGTTCGAGGACCATCAAAATATTTGTATTGGTCATCTCTAATTACTATGTTAATGTAATAGAACTGATGAAACAAGAGATGGCAAATATTTCAGCAATCAATGTGAGCTCTAGTCATGTTTTTGTAATTTTTTCTTTGTCATTTATTTACTAGAAGTACTATCTTTTGTCCAATCCTTATATAAACCATAGATACGTAACGCTATTGTTGTTAATCCCATCTTAAACATAGACAGGTAAAATAAAAAAAGGTCAGGAAAAAAATTTTCTCAAGTTCATTAAATGTTAGGCATTTATTAGTGAACCATATTTTTTATTCTAGTGTAAATTCTTTTACATGATGTACTAAATGTGCTAAATATGCAATCAAATAAGATGCAGATTTGGCACTTTTGTTTTGCTATCGACATATTATCACGTTATTGTAAGAGCTCAATCAAAACCCATTTATTTTCATGGGCTATTTCGCCAGACATTTTAAATGCATGATACAATAATCCGTTGTGTGTTCGACGTTAGCATAGCCGTATTCCTGGCAATTTCATCAGCTGCAAGTCACATCGATTTAGAATTAGATCGGTCAACGAACTAACTCGAAAACTAGATTATTTCAATTGCGCCATTTCTTAAATTACAATGTCGAAGTGTGGTAAAAAATCTTAATAAAAAACTATGGCCCCATGATGATAATTAACAATCAGATAAACAAATTAAATTATGACTGCTCTAATATCACAACTCCGTAACAATTTGACTTTCGAGACTGCAAATCAACTAAACTAAATTTGGGGGCATTTGTAGACAGGGGCGGTTTCTCCATTGGTTCATTTGTGTAGTGAATACCCAGTTCAATTTCATAAAAACACATTATTTTAATATTACATAAATAACATAAAAATATAATTTTAATTTTAATATTTTTATTTTTATACGTGTTAATCTATATTTTTTTGTACATCATTGTCCTCTGGCTGATCGCTTCTCTGTGTCGAAGTATACCTAAGTATACTGTGTCTATGGCGCATTATGATGAGTAAGCCTAACACGAGTGAGACGATATGCCGAATACATATGGCTAAAAAGAGAAGACAACACGCCAACAGATCCTTCAAACTGTCAAAGAACACATTAATTGACGCGCCGACAAACAAGGTTGCGAAACCAGTGTTGCCAGTCTAGTACAATTCACAATTGTACTAGATATAGTACTTTCAGCGTTCACGTGTAAACGATATATATTGTGTTCATTGTTTGGTTTCGTTATTAATAAAGACCCCCTTTTTTCCTTTTAATGAATTAGATGTCACTGCAAATAGAATTCGAAAAATCTGATACATTTAAGGAATCTGGTATATTTTTTTTAGACAAATCTAGTACATAACAAAAACATAATCTGGCAACTCTGTACCAAATCAAATAAAATGTCACTGTCATTAGTGTCATTCCTCTGCTATTAAATACTTTAAGTAAAAACATAAGATTATTTTAATTGTGCTTATTTAAAAAAATGTGTTTAATAAGAAACGGTGTTTTCAATAAATTGAAAGTATGTGTGCCAATTCAACGATTGTTCCCGAAAAACTTATATAAGGCAAGGTAAATTAAAATTTTTAAGGTTATGTTGATTTTTTTACCTATCATAAAGTTTTACGACTGTAATTTGTTTTATATTTTGTTTCAGTTTCTAAGACCATCCAAAGACTACTTCAAAATGGTTTATTTTGTACTCAATTGTAAATACTATGAAGTAAGAAGTAAGCAAAAAATTTGTAATTTTTTTTCCACAAAATCCGCTAAAAGGAAAAATTTAATTAATCTGATGAGGTAACTAGACATCATTATGGAAATGTACAATAAAAATTTGATAAAGATAAAGAGACAAACGGTTTTTCACTTTATAAGTCTGAACCAGAAAAAGGATCAACCAGTTAATTTAATAAACTCGATGAGAAATTTTACCTAAGAAATGGTATGTACATTTAAATAGTTTACCTATACAAAGTTATATTTGCCTGTAATGATCAATCGTGTTGCCCTTTAACCTAGTTCGTCTGTTGCATACAAACCAGAAATCTTTTATTTTAATGACATTTTTCTATTGCCTTGTTTGTATAATTTAGTATTTTCAAAAATATTAGATGTTATGGTAATTTGGATCACTGCAGGTATTAAATAAAAATAAGGCTGTTGGTAAATTAGTTTACAGTTGGTAATAAAGTATGTCTCGAAAAAAGCAATAAGTATCAAACATAAATTGTGATTTTAATTAGGCACTTAACAAGTCACATCCCACATATCTACATGATCTGGCTAATCAATCCTATAAGTACATATCAAAACATTAATATACTATTTACAATTAAACATATAAATAATTTGAAAATAGAGATGAAATCGATTTACCTATTTAGACAAAATACTATTATTCTGTTATTTATTAAAACACACTATTTTTTAGTGAACATGGACATGCAAAAGTCTGCCATAAGGGTATAGGACATAGTGAGAGCAAGAATTCTTTGGAATGTGCTGTAAAATACACTTAGAAAGGGTCATAGTGTGATACCATTTTACGATGTGTATCTCACTAGTTTAGTTCACAGATTTATGTAAATGTTCAATTATGTGCTGCTATTTCAAACTTTTAGTATCCTTTGATAAAAGAAGTTGAATATTATTGTTGACCTTTTTAAATTGTTCATTTTACCTTATACATTTTTTTTCTGCTCTTCATACAGTATTATGTGAAGAGTATTATAGGTTTACATTTCAAGGCTTTTCCAATTATTTTAAGCCAAAGGGGACAAAGCCAATTGATTTTTAACAAATTTGATTAAAAATAGGGGGTTAAGGTGGGTTGAAATTAAAAAAAATCCTAAATTAAAAACGAAAAGCGATATCAATATGAAATTTTTAGTAAAAATGAAGCTTTATATTGATACTGAAAAAAAAAACAATTTATTCCGTCAAGTGATGACGTAGCTGTGTTCTTCTTATAAAGAATAGACACCTAATTATTTTTTGATTTCACAAAATAAATAATGTTTCTTTATTGCCTTTATATGAGATGCATTTACAGCCGCTATGTCGTTGGCCTTTGGCCGCAAACAATTTTTGGCAACTCGTTTGGCATTGACTATCCCAAAAATAACATCGAACATAATAATATATATCTCGATGTAGTATGTATTAAACGTCCTGCTTTACATCAAATATAATGTATTCTAGATCTTGCAGCAATAACATGATAAATTAACTGTAATATTTGTAAGAAGCCTGTTCGAGTTTTTCATTTAAATATAGGTACAATAGAAATGGTTGTTATTCAATTTTAAAATCAGTTTTGATGGCAGGCGTTCATTCTTTAAATAGAACTGTTGCCAAAAAAAAAAATACAAATAAGTGTACAGGGTGATTCAATAAGAAATGCACATTTGTTAAAAGTAGATAGGGAATAACGAGGTGGTTTTTAATAACATATATTTAATTAGCCTGATTCTTTATAACCATTTTGCTAATTTCTTCATTATTTATAATTTACGAATCACACTATATACTATTTTGGGTTAAAGATACTTTATTGTTCTGTTTAATTTCATAGGAATGCCAATTTATTTCTTTGGCATTCAAGGTTTATATGACATTTTTAAAGTCTTCTTCTTGTTTAGTATTAATTTTAAACTGGTTATTGCTTAGAGCAGTGGCTTGAAAGGAAATATTATTTTCTGCCAGTGTATGGAGCAATTCTTCATACTTATTGATGTTGTTAATGATATTTTAAAGACTAACTTACAATCGCCCTGTATGTAAAATTCGTTAAATATGTTAAATCTTAAAATAATAAAATGAGAAAACATTCTCATCCCGAAAGAAGCATAACTTTATTTTGAGACACATTCTGACCTCCACCATGTTTCCTTCTTTACAAATTTATTATTTTGATTTATACTTCTACCCAAAATGGGTATATTTTATGGCATTAATGTGTTTAGTATTTCGCAACATACCATTTAAATGTAAATGTTTAAAAATATTTAAACAGTTCAACACACTCAAGGACATCAGGTATTTAATTAAAAAAATGAAAATATCAATTACCATAACTAACGATTTTTTTATCGACAATAAAGTTAATTCGAACAATTTGCTTTTGTCTCCAGTTTCTACAGCGTCATTGAATTAAAATAATAATAATAATAATGTTGCAGGTTGCACATATGCATGCTTTCACCATATTCGTACTTATCGCTGAGTCTTGAACATTTGAAGGAATCCGAAATGATATATTAAGATAATGCGAGAGATAGAGGAAAACAAATGAGTTCGCGTGACGCCGCCGCAATGGGTCATCAACCGGATATATTTGTCTTTTACATTGTACATCTTCGTGCGTAAAGGTGTACTTGAACAAAGAACTGTCTTTCCTTTTTGGGAAAACTCACCGTCTATTAGTTTACGAATTTTTAAATTCTACATGGCGACACAAACAGGTAGACACGAACAACAATTTTTATTCAACGCTTCTTACAACAGCAATTCTATCGCCGTCAATATACAGGGTTATTCATTAAAAATTACCCACCCGTTATCATCGCTATTAAGGG